ACCCTGGACCCTCAGATTAAGAGTCTGATATGCTCTACCAACTGAGCTATCCCCACCTAACCTAACCTAAACCTAACCTAACCTAACCTAAGACACGCCTGAGACTTTTAAGGGAAGACTCCAGTAGTGTCGAATTTTTACCGACTAAAATCTCCACGATGGTCGTCCTCCACACGTTGGGAGAGCTCTGGGGGACCTTTTTATACACACAGAGCTCTCTCGTGCTGTTGTCCTAAAGTACAATATCTTTTTTCCCGCCCGAATAGGGGTTCGAACCCTGGACCCTCAGATTAAGAGTCTGATACTCTACCGACTGAGCTATCCCCACCTAACCTAACCTAAACATAAACCTAACCTAATCTAAGACACACCTGAGTCTTTTAAGGAAAGACTCCAGTAATGTCGGATTTTTACCGACTAAAATCTCCACGATGGCCGTCCTCCGCACGTTGGGAGATCTCTGGGGGACCTTTTTATACACACAGAGCTCTCCTCGTGTTGTTGTCCTAAAGGACAATGTCTTTTTTGTTTTCGCCCGAACCTTGGACCCTCAGATTAAGAGTCTGATATGCTCTACCGACTGAGATATCTTCACCTCTACAGTGAAGTGTAATATTACAATGAAGTGTGAGCCTGTTCCTTCGTTTGATTTCAGGTGCAATGGCACGCTAAAGGGAGAATGATGGCAGGCGCAAACTTCTTCATCGTTGGCCGTGATCCAGCAGGTTTGCCGCATCCGGACAAGTCTAAAACCCCCGATGGTAGTACTTTGAATTGATTTAATTTTGATTAACTGATAGTTTTATCACTCGTGTGAGAAATTCTCGCACTTCATAGATATCCATCGTTGCTCACTTTAGGGAACTTGTACGACGGGACACACGGTTCGAGGGTCTTGTCGATGGCGCCAGGCCTTCAGGATCTCGAGATAATCCCATTTAAGGTAGCAGCTTACGACAGCAAAGCGAAAAGAATGGCGTTCTTCGAACAGAGGCGATCGCAGGACTTTCTTTTCATATCAGGAACTAAAATGCGAAGTAAGTTGTATTAAACAATGAAAGAACGAACAGTAAAATACTCATACGATCGTTTCAGATTTAGCGAAGGCAGGTGAAAATCCACCAGAAGGATTCATGGCGCCAAGAGCATGGCAAATCGTCTCCGACTACTATCAAAAGCAGCTGAAAAGTTAATTAATCTTAAGCTAGCTTGCACGTTAAAGGGTAGTGTTTATAAGGACGAAAACCTTTTTTTTTTTTTTGTTTAAGTTTAATTTAATAATCAAAATTATAAATGAAATCATTACATTGTGTGCATGGAAAAATAAATGACAACAATCTCATTAAATGCAAGTAAAACACATTTGCAATCGTCTTTAAAAATGAAACCTCAGAAAGGTCGGGAATGGGGGATGAAAATAAATTAATTTAATTTATTTCTTCTCTAATATCGATATACATGTATGCCTATGTTTTATATATGTATTTACGTTTATTGGATCACACAGAGAAATTCGTAATTCGTAGCTTTAATCTAAGGGACCATTCTTTTTTTTTTTTTTTGATTTTTCGAAAGACAATGGAAAAAGAAGAAGGTACGAAGATTAGGATTTAGTCCGTCTAGTGTTTGCCAAGGTATTGTTCTAATCTGGTACACCTATAAATTTTTATCTTTCAGTTAGACATCCGATACCTTTGAATCGCCACAGCATGCAGTAAAATTATTTAGAAAGATATAAACATATAATTGTTGAAAGCTTGCCTTCTTCCTCAGAATCGGATATTCGCGTAGCCTGCAACGAGCTTTGCTTCGACAGAGTCCTACCATGAGCACGAGGTTTAGCAGGCGGCGACTGTTTGTTCCAAAGAGCCTCGAGCTGATCGAAGTGCTGCGACTGAGCAAGAGCAGCTTGCTCCGGCCCTAAACCGGACGGGCTACTCGTCAATCCAACTTTGCTAATCTCGTCCATGGAAGCGCTTACGCTGAATCGTCGTTGTAAACCGTCCTCCATCGACAACGTCAAGATTCCTGGAATCGCACGATATATATATATATATATATTTTTTTTTTTTACTCGATAAAAGAAAGCTGTATACCTGACGTAAGATGGCCGTATTTCCTGTGCCACGTGTCACTGTCTAGTGACACCTCTTTCTTCAGTAATCTCTTATTCGGTCTCTTGCGCGGTCTCAAATCTCTAGTGTCGCACCAGGGTGCCACATAATCCGGCAATTTCACATACTGCGCTGGAGTATTGTGCAAGTACAGGATTGGCATGCAGTTGTGCTCGAGTAAATACACCGCCAGCCTCGATAGATCCGTAGTCACTTCTACACCCAGTACAGGAACGTGCAGCGTTATGCTACTCAGTGAACAGCCCTTCTTCGTGTCCCAGATAATCAGGCTCTTGTCCTCGCTTCCAGACGCTGCCAATGTTCCATCGCCCGACAGTTTCACGCACGTTATGTATCCGAGATGGCCTTTCAGTGTGTGCAGATCATTGCCAGTATTGATATCCCAGACGATCAGATTGGCATCCCGCGAGCCAGAGACTACGATCGACTTGTCCAGAACAGAAACTGCGACACACGTGACGTGATCCGTGTGACCAACGAGAACCTGCGTCCGAAACAATAATTTCGCGTGCCTTCGTCCTCTTCGGGACTTGGAGATTTAGACGAGAGAATAGTAGTAACGTGTGTGAAAACAGTTTCACTAGGAAATTATCAATTTCTCTTGGCAATGTTGCTGTACCTGCGATAACTTGCCACCGGGAATCTGCCACACTTTCAAACTCATGTCCCTCGAGCCAGTGATCAGCGAGCGAGAATCCAGAGTGACAACTAGACAGGTGATTTCCTGAGAATGCGACACCTGGTACTTTTCCTCCGGGCCGGCTCCTAAACTTACTATTCTTAATTGATTGTCTCCCACTCCACATATTCCGTATCTGAAGTTTTCAATTCACGTTATCATTATATGTACAACTATATATTAATCATACGTGTTAATGTATAATGTATAATATATAATATATAATGTATAATATATATATAAATAAACATTTATATATATATATATTAATAATATTAATAATATATTTTAATAATTATATATGTTGTATATATAATATAATATAATATACATATAATATATATTACATTATGATGTATATAATATATATAATATATAATATAATATAATATACATTATGATACATATAATATATAATATAATACAATATGATATATAATATAATATATAATACATATATTAATATATACTAATAATTATATATATTGTATATTATATGTTAGTTTAAATATTAATATATATATTAATAATATATTTTAATAATTATATATATTATATATATGATTATATATATATGTATGTATATATGTATAATATAATATGATATACATATAATTTATATAATATATAATATAATATATAATATAATACAATATGATATATAATATATACAATGTATAATATAATATAATATGATATATTAATATATACTAATAATTATATATATTGTATATTATATGTTAATTTAAATATATTATTTAAACATTTAAATGGACATTGCCAAACATTATACAATCGTATACCTCATATCAGAAGAAACTGTGAAACACCGTCCAGGACCAGGCACTGATTGAATTAGAATGCCAGTGTCAGCTGCCCAGACTCGAATTGCACCAGCCCTGTCAGAACTGATTATCCTTCGGCCATCGAACATAGCTGTCACTGCGATGACAGGTGCCTGGTGTTTAAACGTCGATACCAGCAAGCCTAGAGTCAGGCCCCAAACGCGAACTGTCTTGTCCTCGGAACCTGTGTTTGTTGTTGTTTTTTTTTTTTTTTTTTT